TACTTCACTTTCATTATAAAGTGTTGTAATCCGTACATGACATTTTCTTCTCAAATACCGTGTTTATCTTTCTTGTCCCACCACTCGATCCTTATGTAGCTTAATGGTTCAATTGAATCGACATAAGTGCAATGTGGATGCAAAGCCCGTACTTCTACATGCACACTGTACATATCTAGATTCACCTCACCATTATAATCCTTGGTTCACAAGTATTATGTCTCTTCCATGGTAAATTCTTCTCAACTTTCCATGCGTTCTCTTTTCTTCTCTCACCTACTTGATCCTTAAGCAACTCAATGGCTCCATTTAATCAAAATAAGTACCATGTGTCTACAACGCCTATACACCACATGCACCTCATACGTACCATGTTTCAATATTATCACCTCGATTCACACAGGTAAAATAAATTAACCACATAATTAAAATATTTTACTTTGGTTAAAAGTTAAATAACAGAAAGTCCTAAGACTAAACCGTAGCTTTTGAAACTATTTTAAAATCCTAGTTATTCAAATAATAATAATTAAAAAATAAATAAATAAATAAATAAGAAACCTAAAAATAAAGAATAAGTTAATGTTTAAAGATAGTCTCGGATCTGGATGATGTAACTTGCAAGTGCGTGTGTATACAATGACATGTTATGGTAACACTGATGGTACTACTAAATTAGATTATGTATTCTAGTAGTAGTAGTATATGATATATTAGCCGTTCTAAAAAAAGTATATGATATACTAACTTTTAAAGATCGGTTAAAAAGAAATTCAATTTTACTAATTAGACACTCTAATTATTATTATTTAAAAAGAAACAACATTAATAATTATTTAATGATTCCTTATTACTTTTAAATAATAATTACCTTTTATTTTTACTTTTTACAGTTATTATTTTCTTACCTTTAATTTATAAATGTCAAGCATTATATTCATATTCATTAAAATTTAATATTTTTAAAACATGTCAGTTTTTGAATTTTGACATCACAAACTATAATAATATCAGGTGAAATAATTAATATTATTCGAATAATCGGACAAATATTTAAAGATTTTAAACAAATTAATAAATAATAAACAAGCTAGCCTGTAAATAAGTTTGAGTACTATTGAGCTCGTTTAACTCAAATCTCAGTCAAGCTTTTAACGAGTTAATCTCGAATAAATCATGAACAGCTTGACTCATTTAAACATTTAGAGTAAATAGTAGTCTTGGTTCTAAAAAACATTTAAATTGAAATTTTTATTGATCATACCAAATTATAATATTAATGACATTTCTTTGAATTTTAACTTTGTAAGAAAAAAGATTTAAAAAAAATAGATGAAAAAATAGAACCTAAAATAGTATTGTAGTGGGGGTAGGGTACCTCTTGTGGAGGGAGAGACATACGGGCAGCATCTGCTAACGGGTCAAATTGGGTCGCTCCAAATTTGAATGAATTGCTCCAACCCTAACCCTCTTTTCCTTCTGTCTAAGGAGTTTGATGAAATCTAGATCTTGAGATGTGATTGCATTCGGATAAAAAAATGTTGGTGCTACTACAAGTAATGCTCGGCTTCCCATTTGTCTGAAACAAACTTCCATACATGAGATAGTTGTGGTTAACTAGTAATAATATTCTCTATAACTTGATAAATTTTAATTGTCATTGTACAATGAATGAGATGGCAAACGGACAACAAGTTGTGCCGCTAAGCCTTTTTTAATGGTAAATCTAATTGTTTTAAAGACTACATCAAAAGATCTAGGAGATATAACATTACTATGCATGATTTGTTGTACTCTTTTAAGAAGCTCTACCGCATCCGGTGCGAGGAAACCAAACATATCAAATGCAAATGGTATGAACACGTGTTGATTTTCCAGGCACGATCTCTCATGTTTGGTGACTTTACCTGTGGCTGCTTTTAAAGCAGCATGTCCCGCTGTGAAACCCCCAACCCTCAGGCCCACGAGAGGATACCTCTGTAAGATCCACACATGTGTGTTTCCCTCCGACCCATCCAAAAATCAAAATGTCAGCCGGTCTGAGGGTTGACCTTCCTTCTGTCGGGTCAATCAAGAAATTCAAAGGTGCATCTTTCTTAGAGGAAACTCCGGCACGCTTAAATATATCAAACAATACATCCTTAACCATATCGTGCCTGTATTTGAACCCCGGGAGTTCTTTACAGTGAATTGCATGCTCCCCAAAAGAGTCCAAACATACCTTGCGACATACAGGACATATCTCGTCAGCTGGGAAAATGGGAATCATGAGTCGATATTTGAGAATAGTACAATGATATTATGTTGAATATTATTGGTTCCAATTGTTGAATCTGAAGTTAATCGATGTGAACTTGTTTGACTAGGGTTAGGGAGCACTGAATTTCAAGTTTAGGATCCGAATTGTAGCATGTTTTATTCAGATTTCGAATTGATTTTAGCTTGTTTGCAATAGTATTCCAGTTACTTAACATGTCATTGTCATTGATGCTTCTACCATAAAAACTGTTTGTTCTATCTATGAGACTTTGATGTAAAGTAAACAGAGCATGTTGCTTACTTATCGATTCTTTTGGAGTAAACACCCTCTAAAAAAACACCTCTTCCTTACTTATCAATTCTTGCGTTTTATACCTTCACAAAAAGTTATGTCAAGAAGCACTTTATCTATACTCAAACACTTTTTTAACTTATTGGCTTTTTGAAATGTGACAAAATCCAATAAGTCAATAAGGTAATTCCAATCATCTGAGAATTACATATTAAATACCAAGATGCAAACAACATAAATGATAAAACACATAGATATCACACAATATTGACATAGAAATTATACATAAGGTCTGTAACAACAAACAAGCACATAGAAGATCTGTAACTAACTAACAACAAGCACAAAGAAATCATTATCCCATAGGAATTTTGGATCTTCTATTATCAACATAAAGCACACAGGCTATACAGAAATCATACATAAGGTCTGTAACAAAAAGCACACAGCACAACAGGCCTTAAGGAGTTAAGGTATGCATGCACAACAACAAGCATACAATCAATAACAGGCCCTACATCGATCTTGTCAGAATTTCAGACAAGAAACAGATATCAAACCAAATCTTGAACACCCAGCTCCCGAGTTCCACTAATTAGTCAGGATGTGCTTCAAACACTAATCAGTCACTAATCTAACAACTGCTTCATCGAATCAGACAAGCATACACTTGTATCGAAATAGAAAAAAGTAAGTAAGGTGAGACTATAGCTGGTGGCGCCAGAAATCCGAGGATCGGTGGTGAAGGTGGAGGATAAAGTGTGGTGGGCTGGTGGCTGCTTTAAACGAGGGTTTCCAAGTAGTTTTAAAAAAACATTCTAAATAATTACTCCCTCCGTCCCAAAATAATTGTCCACCTTACTATTTTAATTTGCCCAAAATTATTGTCCACTACCAAAAATACATATATATTTTTACAATGTTGCCCTTAACATTTAATAAATTAAACTATAATAATTACAAATACACATTTCCCATTGGTTTTAAAAAAGGGCAAGGGAGTCATTTTACTCAAAAAAACAAAATTAATTATTGATTTTCTTAATCTGTGTGTTTTTTGTCTGTGGATAATAATTTTAGGACGGAGGGAGTATTTATTACTAGTATTTAAATTTAAAAATATAATAAGTTAATAAGATACCAAAGGGACTTTGATTTATGGGAAGGAATGATTTTTTCTTTGAAATGTTATGGGTTAAAATCTTAATTAAGACATAGATGATGATAGTTAAGAATAGATTAGTTTATCATTTAAAAAAAATATTAATAAAATAAATGAAGAAAAAGGTTAGCTTATAAACGTTTTTTTAGATGAAATTGACTTGAAACTTTATTAGATATCCAAATTGCATCCAATTTCAAATTGAACTCTTAAAATCGACATTCGTCTCTTCTCCTAAGCTCCAGACCGTTCAAATAAAAGAAAATAATGGAAATTGGGAATTTAGGTTATCATCTCTTTACTAGTTGTCAATATTAATCTCTTAATTAGTTATTTTTGTCATTTCATCATCAAATAATATTCCAATGTCATTTCACTTTTAACACTATAAAGCTACTAGGAGTGGACTCGCTAAGGGGTTCGCTAGGACAAGGAACACCGCCCCCTAGTTCTCGCTAGGGGACTCGCCAAGGGAAGGTTGCTACGAACGTAGCGAGAGGAGAGACGATAGAGAGGGTGGATTGGTGGCTTCTGATTGGTTCTTAGCTATTGTTTTCCTTTTTTCTATTTTGTTTTCCTCCAAAATCATATCTGTTAAATTAATAATTACCACTTCGTATCTTTTTGTACTAGACATGCTAACCCTATGTGACATAAGATACACATATCAATTAATATGTATGGAATTTGTATTTGTTTTTTGGAAAACCAATTAATTCTAATATTAAAGATCTTCAAAATCAAATTAATGAAGAAGACAAAGACATTATTTTGATGTATCTAGCCCTTTTTTATAAAATGAAAGAAAAATGTATAATAGATATATTAAGGGTATAATAATTATTTTATTTTTCAAGGGCAAAATACGCAATGAAACATTGAAAAGGACTAAAATTCTGAGTTTGAAACTTTAGGGGGTCAAACCACATAAATAACAAATTCTAGGGACCATTTTTGCAGTTTTATCAATTTGATAACTGTAGAGACTCAAACCACAAAAAATAACAAATAACAAGGACTAATTCTGTAAGTGTTGTCTAAAAACAACATATTAAAAGGATTTCTCGTTGAAAAAATTAATACAAATATTATCTAGCTACTTGCACTTAGCTCATTGGATAAAAACTTCTTTAAGACCGCCTACCGTTTTTTTAATTTGAATTTAAGCTTTGAAACAAATAAACAATCGTAAACTACACGTATTTATTTGTAAATAAGAAAAGTAGGCCACCAAAGTCCCTCACAAGCTAGCGTATTTATTTTCAATTTTCTAGTTTCCTAAATATCATATAAATTCCCTTCCGAAAGTCTTTGAATCAAATCTCCCAAAACCAATGGCTTCAAACCGGTTTGACTTTGAGGCATTTGGTCTAGCCCTGGTTATGCTATGTGGTGTAGCCATGGCTCAATCAGGATGCACCACTGCACTAGTGAGCTTGAGCCCATGTCTTAACTATGTCTCTGGAAATTCATCAACTCCATCATCGTCTTGTTGCTCTCAGTTAGCCAACGTGGTTCAGTCACAGCCACAATGCCTTTGCCCGTTCACTGGCAACGGTGCTGGCTCACCATCGGGTTTGAACATCAACCAAACTTTGGCTCTAGCACTACCTGCTGCTTGCAATATCCAGACTCCTCCTGTTACCCGGTGTAATGGTACGTACGTATAGTATCTCATACTTTCTCATCTTCAACCTCTCTCATCCCTTCATTTTTTAGGTACAAACAACAATTAGTTTTCATTTGATACAAAAACTACATATAAAACTCATTTCTAATTTTAACATATTAAAGATTGCGTTATGTAACTTATCTATTTCTATTAGACGGTGCTAGTGGACCCACAAGTTCTACGCCATCAAATACTCCTTCAGGTAAATCATTCAACAACTCATATTTTATATATATATATATATATATATATATATATATATATATATATATATATATATATATATATATATATATATATATATATATATATATATATATATATATATATATATATATATATATATATATATATATATATATATATAACACCATTTGTTATCCTTTTATAATCATAAGTAAAAACATTGTATTTTCTTATGCTCTGACATGATTACTTCAGGTAGCGGATCAAAGACGACTCCAGGAACAAGTGCAGGCACATCCGAAGAAGCTATAAAAAATCTACCAGTTTTTGTAACTTTTGTTTTGTTCTTCATGGCTGCATATTTTTCGTACCCTGTGGCTTAATTGCTTTTGAATTTTATTGTCATCTATTTTATTGTGCGTGGTATGTGTATTTGTAACGTTTATTATCAAATAATTATGTAAGTCACTTGTGTACTATATATATATATATATATATATATATATATATATATATATATATATATATATATATATATATATATATATATATATATATATATATATATATATATATATATATATATATATATATATATATATATATATATATATATATGTGTGCGCGCGCGCGCGCGCTTCTGTCAGTTTCTGTTATACCGTACCTCTCATTCTCTATTTTCTTTAATTTTTGTGGTACATGAGCATTAAATCATTCACTACTCCATTTTCCACTAAATCTTTCATACTATGTTATACTTTTTTGACAAAACTGCGAAAATAGTTCCTGTGGTATGTATTTTTTCTAAGGTTTAGTTAATACCTCGATTTTTTGGTTTCGTGGTCCTTTTGAGCTAGTTTCGATGCATATTTGGTCCCTCCGAATATTGAAATGACTGTTATGCCCTTCTTGTATTTGTTTTCCATTTTCTTAAAAGATTTAATACTTATTAAATAATTTTTATAATTAAAAATAAAAAGGTTTCACCTCCCCCCACTCTTTGTACACGGTACCATAGAAAAGAATCCAACTAATAACACTCTTTCACCGGTGATCTCTCTTTTCCGCCGGACGCTATAGCTTGAGGCACCAGACGTCACGCTTGTTCCGGCAACTCGAATCGTTACCTCCTCCGACAAAAGAGGTTAACAAAGAGTCACGTTTCCATATCTTTGATTCCGGCCATCAATATCGTTTCAGATTTGGAACCCGCCTTCCTTTATCGAACGTTGCCACCTTACTTTACGATAAGCCCTACAACGGCTCCGACGATAAGCCCTATGCCAGCTCCACCAATCGAATTCGTTCCATTTGCAAAGTCAGTGAGTTCCCCACCAACATCGGTTCAATCTCCCCTGATTCAAGAACCGCTCAGTTTTCCGATCTCGTATTCTCCAGTAATGTCGTCATCGGTATCTTGGGCTACATTGTTGCTTCTTTCCTTACTAAATAACCTCTCACAACTGCTTGAATATTCACTAGCGACTTTAGTGCGTTCAATGCTTTCCTCGACTTTTAAATCCACAAAATTTTAATCTATTAATTGGATTTCGAATTGGCTTTTTTATGTTTTTTATTATATGTCGATTGATCTAACAGTAAATGAATTAATGTTGTGAATTACCAGGTACTTAGGAAACAATACTTGGATTCACTAGAATGTATTGTGTGTGTGTGTGTATATATCCAAGAAAAAAGATGCGAGGTTTGGGGTACAATTGTCTATCCGGCCCATTCAACTAGAAAGCTATGATTTTTGGGATTTATGGGAAAGACATATTTTACCGGGAAACACCCACTTTTTTATGCAAATCAAATAGTCTTCTCGATCTATTCATCCATAAATATACCATAAATTAAGAAGCATATTCGCAAATCCTAAAAAAATAACCTTTGACATAAGTTTTAATCTTATAATACACTTAGATCGTCGTAAATACTTGAGTAGATTTACAACCAGCTCATCAAAATCTTTCTTTTTGTTGGTGTTTATGAGTCGAGATTAAACAATTGCAATCACAAAGCATCAAGATTTCAAATCATGCTACAAACCCCTAAGAAATTAAACGAGAATCGACCAAATGCTAAATTGGTCCAGACAATCCAGATTTCAACATTCTTGAATCAAAATCGAGAACCCATGTTCCCAATTGAAGACGATTAATTTAATAGTAAATGGGAATTACAAATTCCAACAAATCTAGGCCAAACAACAAGCAACAATAATCAATATTCAAAGGAAAACACAGTAAATTTACCTTGAGAAACCAAGATTTGGCTTAGAGTTCGTCATAAGTTATCAAGAAATGGAGGCGGAGTGCTTGTGAGGAAGAGGGAAAATTGTAGTTTCATTTTTTTTTCTTCTTCTAATTATTATTATTTTTACTTTCAATCCACAAAACATAGAAAGAGTACGGATGTCGAAAAATGATACATTAGGTCTTACGGAGTATTAAATATTAGATTCCTTTTCCTTTTCCAAAGTGGAGCTTTTTCAAATTGGTTCGACTTTTCGGTTTTTTTCCACCTGCTTTGTAATTAGTTTTTTTTTGCACTAGTCTAGTGGTTTATCAGTTTTAATATTTAACTCACATTCTTTAAACCTGCTTCAATTTTTTTTCATATTATATACTGCTCATGTACTTGTCAACATAGCATTATTGTTTTATTGTTTGCGATTACTAACTTTTCCTTATAGTATTAATGGATAAAAATATTTTAATTTACTCTTTAAAATACGACATAAAATTACGACATACATTTTTTCTGTCGTAAATCATTGATATTTTATGATATATAACATAAAATTTATGACAGGCTTTTATGCCTATCATATAAGTGTTGTATGTCGTAATTCGTCTGTCAAGAAATGCCTTTTTTCTAGTAGTGTTGGAAACTTACTTTCTTCCGTATCAAAATAGAAAAGTCAAATTCGCATCCACTTTGGGAAGGGGATAAAAAAGTCAACCTGTACGACAAATCAAAACACAAGAAATATATTCGAACATAAAACTTTCTCTACATAAAAAACAAATTGATTCCTTGTGAGGAGAAAATGCAACCGGAAGAACATCATTAGCCAATACTTGACCCCCAAATATATCTGCACAAAAAAGAAAATTAAATTAACGCTTCATTCACAATAAAGAAAATTTAACAAGAACAATATCTCAAAACATACCCTTGAGCTACAAAGAGTTCAACCTTCAAAAGAAAAAGAAAAATCATAAACAGAAACAAAAGATAGTAGATTTCACAGGGATATCAATAAAGAATATACATTAGCTAACCTACTCCACTTCTGTCGTCCTCAAAAGTCTTCATTCATGAAATCTTCATGTGTCAAACAGCCAACGGCACCACCTCCTCTAAGTGCCCATAGATATTGTGTACACCTTGAAGACCTTCTGTTCTTCTAGTTCTGCATTCACCATCAAGAGGTAAGGCCAGAAGCTCTATAACATTATGTAGGTTTATCTCTTCCAAAGCTTCATCAATTTATGTTCGTAGATCTGGTGCAAGACTACTTTTACCTTCTTCCTAAACGAGAGTAGATAAACAAGAACACCATCTGAGGTTTCAAGGACTTAAAACTTCATTCTTACTCGATCGGGTGGTTCAAGATGCCATTTTTTTATAGGAAAACAGAAAAGAAACAAAAAGCAAAGTTTTAAAAGGATTTTTTGATTATTATTACCTGTAATAACTTCAGTACCGTCTCAAGTAATTCACAACCCTTAATATAATCTGGAGGACACAACGCCATAGCGTCCCTTTAAATTTCAACATAGGACAATGCCATTCCCAACACAACAGTAACATCTAAAATTACATTTTTCATGCTTGAATGATTTGTGTAGTCTCTCTTTCAGTAAACTTTCACTAATTTGAAGCACCAATCCATCCTCTCCTACTTCTTGTAATAGGCATAGGGCTCCAGGAACCTTGAAAGTTCTAATATCAACTAATATTTAGTCAATGTTGTTCTTTAAATATCATAAACATGACTAGTAAGTTAGATCGTTTGGCCGACTTTTCTTTCTCCAACTATTCTTTCATAGCCGATTCTAGTGTAATTCATATAATATTATGCTTTAAACTGACGTATAATACTAAAAGAGGGATTTCACGAGCTGCTTAAAGAACATGCCTCCAGGTAATTAACGCGTCGTCATTATATTCATACTGATGTGGTTTCAAAGACCTAGCTTCATAACATATTCTAATTCTTTCTCGGAGGAAGTGAGACTCCGCACTGAGCATTCGGTAGAAGTCGATGGGAATACATACGTGGCGGTCAGGGGCGGTGGAGAGCATGAAAGGGTAGTGGCGGTTAGATCATTAGGGTCGGCATTATTGGTCTGACCCTGATTCCTTAAAGCGATGCTTATCCTTACAATCTCTCCGAAGGTGGTGACATAAAGAGAGAGACGCATTCCAATGATAGATAGAGGCGGATAAGGGCAACAGGGGGTGGCGGTTTGGTCCATGAGTAACGAGTTATAACCGCCTAAAATGACTTCGATTATTTAATTACCAAACTATCCTTCTGTGTCGATTTAAAAGAGTATATATATATATATATATATATATATATATATATATATATATATATATATATATTCGAAATAAAACATCAATCATATCCTATAATCTCTTTATTTATGTCTTGAAGATTGATGATGGCAGTTATATAGTGTTATACGGTTATTCTCTATCTATCTACCCGTCAGATATTAGATTTCTTTATGGTATGAATTTTTGCTTCTGTCATCATCTATTTTCCTTGTAATGTGTTTGTTGTGTTTTAAGTTTTACTTACAATTATTGCTCACATAGATTCAAATACCAATGTTTTATTAACATAACATAGAAAATGAAAATACAATTTTATATTTGGGTAAATCTTTTAAAGTATAATGTCCTAATAAGAAAAAAAAGTACAATGTTATTTTGAGATGAGTTTTTCAAAAGCATAATCCTTCATTGAGAAGAAAAACCTACAATCCATAATTCAGTAAATATTCCAAGGTAACCACCATTTTTGTAAAAATACAATAAATAGCAACACGTCTTCACTTGATTTATAATATTGTGCAAGCCCTCCAAAAAGCTTTACTAAAACTATATTCAAACATTCAGCTTTTTTGTCAAACTAATAACCACCATGGCATGACACATGGATAAGGTCAAACCACACTCCTTTTGATGGAAAGAAATTTTGTTACTACCAATGCATTCCAGGGCACTCACTCCTACAAACAAGACCATCTGACCTCTAAGATAATTTCCTGGAAAATTCGAGTAAATGCTTATAACGATGGAATAAAATAAACTATTCCTCAAATGACTTAAAAACATGAACAAATAACATAACAATTTTGCATTTTAGTGGGTGCATGAAACTTAAAAATTCAAATACATTTAAGGCTTCTATTTAACCTTTCTGGCATCTGCTTGAGTTCCCGACTTTTGTCTGTAAGGAGAAGTTTTAGAGATAATGTACATATATTTGAATATGAGTTGGTGTATAGATAAGGTCTAGTTTATTCAAATGATTGTAATCCTTATCCTTGTAAGTTACCGTGGTATATATAATTGATGGTGGAACCTACAGCTTTAATGAGGCAAATTATACTTTCTTATCATTGTTGACTTGGTATCACAGCCAAATCCCTAGGGCTCCAATTTTACCCTCCATTTTTACCTACGAACTTTGGTTCTTGTTCAGATCATCTTCATTATGGTACCTTCTTTCATTAATTCTTCTAAAATCGCCACTGTCATCACCTGCAAATTAACTCGTACCAACTTCCTAGTTTGGAAGGCCCAAGTCATTCCTATCCTTCGTGGTGTCTAACTCTATGAATATCTTGATGGAACAAAAACGTTTCCTACTGCTAAGATAACTATGGGAACCAGTGCGGAAGCAAAGACAGCCGACAATCCTGATTATCGGAATTGGGTTGTTCAAGATCAAGAAATCCTCAGAGGATTATTATCGTCTATGACAAAATACGTATTATCATAGCTTACTCGCTAAACTGATACATCAAAACAAGTATGGGATGCTCTCCATACAATATTTTCTGCTCCACAGAGGAAAATCAATTCAGATCCGTACACAACTCTCAACAACAAGGAAGGGCGACATGAGTGCGTCCGAGTACTATCAGAAGATGACGGGGCTTGCTGACACTATGGCAAACATTGGTCACCCCATGATTGATGAGGAAGTTATAGGCTACATTCTAGTCGGTCTAGGTCTAGACCAGGCCACGGGGACTTATTTACTGTCATCACCGTTCTCAGCAACCAACGAGATGCGACACTACCAGAGTTTTACTCTTATCTGATTGCACATGAGACTCAAACTACAACAATGAACAAACCTACAGACTTCATCTTGTCTGCTAACAATGTTAAGAGGCAGGAGTCAAGTGGATCTCGGTGCAACTACAACAACAATGAGAACAATACCTTCAACAATAATTATCGAAACAACTATCGAAAAAGGGGCAACAGCTATGGATGTGTTCGTGGCCGTGGAGGTGGTAGGAAAAATGGTAGCAGTCCATGATGTCAAGTATGTGGTATTCCAGGTCATACTGCGTTGAATTGCAGAAATCGATTCAATCATGCCTATCAAGCAGAAGAGTATCATGGAGGGAATAATGCTACCAAACAAAGCTACAACAATGACACCAATTGGTATATTGACACTGGAGTTACATATCATCTAACAAGTGATTTAGATCGCTTGTCCATTCAGGAGTGATACATTGGAAAAGACTAGGTTCAAGTTGCCAATGGAACATGTTTTCATATTTCCCATATTGGTTATTCTCAAATCCCCAGTCTAAGTAGACCCATTGTTCTTAAAAACATCTTACATGTTCCCCAAATCAATAATCATCTTCTTTCTACTCATAAACTTGTTTCTAATAACGATGTATTTATTAAAATTCACCCTAAAGTTTTCTTTATTAAGGACAAGGTCACGAAGAAAACGTTTCTACTCGGTTAAAGCAAAGGAGGTCTCTTCCTGGTACCCATTACTTATACTTCTCGTATTCCTCATCAAGTCGCATCTAGTGTTAAAGTTTCGTCTTTACAGTGGCATCGGCGTCTTGGTCACCCTACTTGAGCACTCGTTAAAACTATTTTAAAGTCAAATAAACTAGGTTGTTCTTTTGATAATATGTCTTCTATTTGTGATGCATGTCAGCGTGCAAAGAGTCATCAGCTTCTTTATAATAATTTTGTTCATATTACAACTTTTCCACATGAGCTTGTTCATACTGATGTTTGGGGACGAGCTCAAGTGCCTAGTGGAGGTTATAAATATTATGTTAGTTTCTTGGATGACTACAGTCGTTATAATTGGATTTATATCCTTAAACATAAATCTGATGTTGAACAAGTCTTTTATATTTTCCAAACTCATGTTGAACGTCTTTTGAATACTAAAATTCGTACTATCCAATCTGACTAGGGTGGTGAATATCACAAGCTCCATAAATATTTTCAGCAAACAGGTATTGCTTACCGTGTGTCATCTCCCCATACATCCCAAAAAATGGGATGGTTGAGCGAAAACATCGACACATTGTTGAAATAGGCTTGGCTCTTTTAGCTCATTCCTCTCTTCCACTTCATTTTTGGGATGAAGCTTTCTTAACAGCCTATTATCTAATAAATCATATGCCTAGTCGCACAATACAAAATTCTACACCCATCACACGTCTTCTAAAAATAACCCCTAATTACTCATTTCTACATAACTTTGCGTGTGTGTGTTGGCCAAGACTTCGTAAATATAACACTCACAAACTTGCATATCGATCTTAAATGTGTGTCTTCTTAGAGTATAAATCAATGCACAAAGGGTACAAGTGTTTAGATATGAGTACTGGTCGAATCTATATATCTTGAGATGTGATTTTTGATGAATCATGATTCCCATATGCAACCTCCTCTGTTTCTACCACACCATCCCCTAGGTCTGAGGTGGCATCGTTTCCTCAATCTGAACCAAGTATCTCGAATGACCATTTGTGGAATTATGACTTGTCCCTTTTATTGGCTAACCATTCTAGTGCAGTTGCAGCACCATTAGCTCTTGTGGTTACCATTCAAATACCGAGAACCACAACAAGTAATAACACAGGTATCAAGGTGTCTCCACCAACGTCCTCTATGTCATTACAACAGCAAAGTCACTTGCCAAGAACACTAGTCATGCCTTCATCAAATCCCCCTGCTGTTGACACCATTGAAAACGTAGCTCCTGCTGCTACTATTGACGACAGTGATAGTACAACTCCTACTGGTTCTGTTGATTCAACTAATATAACTGACACGGCTGACACTTCACTGGCTTCTCCTGTTCCAGCAAGTCCAATTGTTGGTGATGTCTCCACATCTACATCAGGTATCATGACTTGAGCGCGTGCATGGAAGACTTTCCCTCGAAAATTTACTGATGGAACAATACTTTATAATCCCAATAAACGTGCCTTATTTGCTGAACCTGCTTCCTATCGACTGGCTTTGGATGATCCAGCATGGCGACACGCCATGAAAGCTAAGTTTTCTGCCTTTCAGAAGAATAATACATGGGTTTTGGTACCACGACCATCTAATGTAAATGTCGTTGGCTGCAAATGGGTTTTCAAGCTTAAACAACATCCCGATGGTTCTATTGATAAACATAAGGCATGTCTGGTGGCTCGGGGTATCACTCAACAGTATGGACTTGACTATCAAGACACATTCAGTCCAGTTGTCAAACCCACACCAGTTCGTTTGATTCTTGCTCTTACAATGTCCAGATGATGGCATCTTCGACAGATTAATGTAAGCAATGCATTTCTTCATGGCTTCTAAAATGAAGAGGTTTACATGCTGCAACCTCCAGGTTTTAAAGACACTCACAACCCTCATTATGTCTGTAAACTTCATAATACAATCTATGGACTAAAACAATCACCTCGCACATGGTTTTCTCGGCTAAGTGACAAGCTACATCAACTTGGATTTCATTCGTTGAAGGCTGACACATCTCTTTTCATTTTTCATTGTAGGAGTGTTCTTATCTACATTCTTGTTTATGTAGATGATATTGTGATTGTTGTTTCCACTCAAAAACTAGCTGATCAATTGGTGTATATGTAACTTGTCAAGAACTTTTCCCATCAAAGGTCTTGGCCGATTAAATTATTTTTAGGAGATTGAGGTTTCTCACAATTAAGGGGGAATCACTCCTATTCAGCATAAACATGCGTCTGATTTACTCAAACGAGTTCACATGTCGAATTTTAAGAGCGTCTCAACCCCCATGTCTGTCACGGATAAGCTGGCACGTGATTAATGAAATTATCTTAGCGAGGACGATGCGTTCAAGTGTAACACCGTAAATTTCAAAACAAAATTTTCAAATTTTTATAAAACATAATTCATTTAATATTCAGAAAACAACCATATTTAA